TAATTTGTTGTAAATTCCATGCTTATATTATATTTTGTAGACATCTTTTTGCCTAACAGTACCAAAAATTTTTCGAAGTATTTTTCTTTCAAAAATTAATAGCCTATCTTTTTCGGATTTATTTAATGATCAGCACCTTCTGCGTACCTCTTAATAATTGTCATATATCGTTCTGTCCAATTCTTTTCTATTATTTAATATTTAAAAAGACTTTGATATTTTATTCATATTAAAAATATACATAGGACAATTTTTAATAGATACTAAAGTATTCATAAAGATGTCAGAGTAAGAAGACAACATTGTTACTTGCAATTAATTAATGCGTGCATTTATAATGATAACGACACTTGATTTTTTATTGCCTAAATATCACGGGTCACCCATGTAAAAGGGGACTTGTATTTTATGGGCTTTTTTCTTCTAGAAACGTTGATGAATTATCAGAAAGATTTTATTCAGAAATTCTCTTCTTTGACTCAGTTTATAGTTTGTTAAAAAGGGTAAAATTGCAATTCACTCCAAGGTCGGAGAAAAGTTCTCGAAATCAACGTCGAATCTAATTGCCTGATCTGCGGCAGACCTTAATTATGACACGACGTGATAGACGAAACCACAAGGGGCCCACTTTGTAAACAGGCTGGAATTTCCCGCCTGTCTACAATCACTTTAAAGAAAAAAAATGAAACAACACTTCTGGTCGAAAACCTTCTTTTAAGATAATCCGTCAAGAAGGGGTTAACTTCCCTCACTTCTCATTGGAGTAGGCATTTCTCAGTTCGTGGTTTTATTAGCAATCACGAGGGAACAACTCATGGTGTAGTCCATATTCATGTTGAAGTTGTTTCGGCCTGTGAAGGGCGCACAAACAATAGCTGATTTCCTGACTCTCATTATACATGATACCAATATCTGCTGTCATATTTGAATGACAGATTGTTCTCATGAGTACAAAACACTAATTGCATGTAATATAACTACTCATAATCTGCCTGTCAAATTGGAGTGTTGATTGTTATTTGTCAAATAACACACATTCCTTTCTCCTGAGAATGAAATGCCAAAACTCTTCTCGTGAGGAAAAAAATGCTGGAGGTCCTTCAAGTTAAAGATTACTAAAATTAAATTATAAATCTAGTCTGATATTTAAATACGAGATAGAAAAAAACGTAGATGATTATGAGGAGAGGAAGAGAGAGAAATAAAATATAATAAAAAAAAATTATTTCTCTTTACATTCTAATAAATATAGATTTTTAAAAAAATGAAAAATTCAGAAGCATAAGAATGAAAAGGATTATTATTGTTATAATAATAATAATAATAATAATAATAACATAGCAATAGGTCATATTTAAATAACAAGTCTTAAAAGGCTTCATTTCATGTTATTTGTGTTAATGTTTTTTTAAACATGAACTTCTTGGGCGTAACCAGTTAATCTTTCTTGTAGTTTGATATAAGGACTTAAATTTTTTTTCTTGTTCTTCATTTGGCATTTGAAGGCTTTTATTTCCTCATCTAACTAGTACAAACTAAGTAAAAAAGATAAGTGATTTAAATGATTGAATAGTTTGATAGTTTTCATTATTTTTATATTTTTGTTTCTTGCTGATCCAGTAATCTTATTTAAATCTGTTTTTTATGGTAATTTTTTTAGAAGCACTTAGTATTTGGTTTAAATTTTCATTCATGGTCTACATTTTGATATTTATCAATTTACTCTCTGAGCGAGATTATTCTGAATAAAAAAAAAATTGTTAAAAAATGTGGTTTAGTTCGCTTCTTTTTACTACCAACAAAATTGATAACAGATAAACTTCAAAAAATCAGATATAAGACAGACTATCAGATATAAGACACACTTGTAATCATATTTATGTAATTTAGATATAATATTTGGTAATATTGCTTTTTTCCATCATTTGCCAACATAAAAAGCGTCAAACATCCATTATGTGCCATAGACTTCTTTTAAAAAACTACAGTCCCTTATATGGTTGGCTACCAGAAGCGCTAGCATCTATGAGATTTTCAATATAAAAAAAAATTTCATTGCAGATTATGAGACTCCGCCTTCTGTAAGAAATACCCTGTAGAATTGATCATCTAGCATTAACTAAAAAAGAAAAACTAGTAGCTATATTCACTGATCTTGGATGGAAGAATAAACATAAGTAATTGTCACTTGAAACTTTTTGAATTCCTATAAAAGAAAAAATGCACTACAATTTTCAATATCCTATTTATGTGAATTAAAGATTTTTTTACCCTCACCGCAGTGAAGTGTAAAAAGCGATTTTTTCAATGTATTGACGGAAATGAGAGTTTGCTTTTCAGATATATGTTCAAACATTGAAAAAATCGCCAGGGCATTTCAAGTGCTCTTATTGTGCTCTTAAGCACAAGAAAAAATAAACTGTGTTTCTGCGGTGAGTTTCATTTTATTTTTTATCGCATTAGTTTTTTTTCTGTAATACTTCACTATAACATATTTCTCAGAAATTTGTATATAGTGTGTCTATAATTGTTTGTAGGATAATAAATTCGCCCCGATTTCAAAACGTTTGAGAAACATTGGAGTAGAAGATGGCTTTTCAAACCTTTTTCTATTGAGTATTGCATTTTTTAAGTTATGTTTATGATGTTTTGTTTTTTTCGATTGAATGAATTTTGGAATTTGATTTGGTTTCAGCATTGAGTTGGCTTTCCGAGGAACAACAGTCCATTGTGCTGATATAAGAATGACAGACGTAACATATTCAATACATTTATTAAAAATTGGCTAATTTTTTTTATTTCAACATTGAACTGGAGGGGCCTGTTGGGCTTCAGAGCTGAAGGGACATGGTTCAAAACTCGTCATTTCCCTCTATATGCCAATGATGGACACGATGAATCTTTAGGCTGAGATGTCCTTCCGTTGAGCTCGAGGAGGAAGGTGAAAGCCTCCAACAGCCATCCTTTTAATATCCGCTTAAAATTGCCTTTGCAAAACTTCCCCCACATCATACTAGAAAACTAAAACGTAGCATCTAAGCTATAGGAAGAGTGGTGTGTTTGGTGTAATAATAGTATGTCCTTGTCAAGTAGTTTTTCAGCAAATAAACACTCTTTTAGCTGCAGGTACTCTGGCAGAAAGGTTGGAAAAACTTTACGGCTTTTAAATCTCACAAATAGCATACAAGTCCTTATGGATTTTAAAAGTGATATTTTCGAAAGATTATCATTAAGGAGCTGATAGATTCATAAGCATAGCACATATTGTTACCCCTTAAGTTTATTTCTCCTTTAATTTTCGAAACAGACAATTTAGACATATTTACTGGAGGCGAATTTAAGCCTTTGTGGTGCTCAATTTTTTTAAAGAAGAAAATACGTGAAATGACAAAGAAATTTCCAGTCTCATATCACACTGTCCACCAAGAAACTCTACAAATTATTGCTGAAAATACCTATACAGCCAAAGTACAGTATAGGTATTTTGGTTAGGTTGGTGGAGGTGGGGTATTGGGAGACATTGTCACATCCTTTGACAATCTCCACCCTTAGCTATATGCCTTGGAAGTGTCCCATTCCATGAATCCAATGCAGTTTTTTTCCCGAAGGATTGATAACTGCCGGCCGATTAATACGCCCTGTACCACTCTTCTAACAGAAGCAGTGGCCAAAGATATGTGCTGACCAAAAAACAATTCCATGCTTTTTTTTCTGGGACAGAGGTCGTCACACACATGATAAATATGTAGATCAGAATAATGACACTGTTAGCAAAATTCAAACCAAATCAAAAGAACTAATCAAATGAGTAAACATTAAAACCAACTCAAATAATAAGTATAATTCAGCGAGGAAAATAAGGACTACGCAAAACGCTTGAAGATCATGAATTAGTAGTAAGCTATTATGAAAATAATGAGTTTTGTAATCTGGACGATGGAAAGGAAAATGACAACAAAGACTCCTTTGGCATCTCAGGTTTGTGATAATTTTACATATTTAAAAGAGATGCTCCCTCTGTGTCACTACGACTATCTTGTTTCTTTCGTTCGGTGGTTCTATTTTTCTTGTTAGCCGCAGCTTTCTGGTGGTCCGAGAAGTATTGATCAATCCATTCAGAGATTTATTGAATCTTCATTTATTTACAAACATTTTTTTTCTTTCTAATGCAGCTGGCAAATACAGACAGCTTGGTCTTTGGATGCCTTAAGGCAAGTGCTGCACAGGCGTACTCACTTTGCATTATCCAGGGGGAGCGTGTAACTTGAAGATAAGCCACGGACGCGGAGTCACAATGCCCCCGCAACGCTCTACGATCCTATTAGGACCGGGACCTACTTTTTAAAGTGGATTCCGAACCACTACAAACAACCATGGCACCGCCGGAACTCGAACCCGAAACCTGTGGTACCGAGCGCCAGAGCGCTAGCCACTCGGCCATTCAGGCCCTTTATTTACAAACAATATTTACAAATATATACAGGGTCGATGGTAACAGTTCATCTGGAAGCCAACAGCACATCAAAAAGGCAAAAGCTCAACTGCGAATCGATTCCTTCTGGTTTTTATAAGACTACAACGGTGGCGCTGCTAAAACATACAAATTCCAACACTCTGAAAGGAGAATAATTTATCGGGGAAAAAAAATGTGTTGCAACATAAATTTTTCTAATAGAAAATAAAATTAGACGACTAATAGGCAAAATGGCATATTGTTGTTGTTGTTGTTTCTTATCCCACTTGGCTGGCCAAGCCCACGAGTCCATACGTACTCATGATTGAAGGGGAAGGAAGCAGCTTCTGTTGTGATGGAGCACCCGTAGGTAGAAGCCTGACTTTGGCTCCGTGACGCTCTTACAGTCATGGAAGACCGGGAGCTACGGCTTAAAGTGGATTCCGAACCACTACAAACATCCATGGCACTGCCGGGATTCGAACCCGAAACCTGTGTCACAGAGCGCTAGACACTCGGCCATTCAGGTCCCAAATTTGTGAATGCCAACGGCACGCGGTGTTCCCAGGTGGTCACCCACCCAAGTACTGACCGCGCCCAATGATGCTTGACTTCGGTGATCTAACGAGAACATATTGTTGTTAATTTGGAAAGTGATTTTCTATGAGGATGATGAAAGGAGTCAAGTTAGATTGCGCTTAGATTTTATTCTACCACAATATAATAATTTTATTATAGTAACTATAATTACTACTAATTAATAATTATTATTAACTAATAATAAAAGCAATTATTAAAAAAAACACTTGAAATATTAAAGGCCATATCCATTCTTTAATGTCATTTTTTATTAAAGGTGTTTAATAGTTTTAGACCAGGAATGCACATGAGCAAGTAACCATATGTCTCTTTTACATTAAAAAACTATATAATAATAATTTTTTTTAAATATTTCTTGAAAATATAAATAAGAAAATAATCCAGTCCTAATTTAATGAAAAAATAAATCTTTAAATAATAATAAAAAAAATATTTTTTTTTTTTTTTTTTTTTTGAGTATACAAAGAATATAAGCGATCTTTACTCTTCACAATTCTGTACATACATTTTTAATACACGTTTTGAAGTTGGTTAGAAATAGAGAAATAAATACTTTTTGGTATAAGAACGCGTGGCAACAAATCCGGTCGAAGGTTGTTAGATTATTAAGTGTACTTTTTGAGTTATGTTTTGATGATAATGCCAAGAACTTTGAACTCTACCTCTGATATGATAAACAATAGTAATTAATGCTTTTAAAAATAGTTAAAAATGTTGTTTAACAATCTTGTGTTTTGGCCTGCTTTTTGATGTGTTTGCAAGTATTTAGGATGGCGTTTGCGAATATATGTTCTTGTGCTTGTTTCTGTAAGCCTAGCCTATTCTTGAAGTTTGTATAAGATCTTTTAAATCATACTGTATAAATTAATGACATAAATGTTTTTTATTTATGTAGAAGTTAAAGATGTTTGTGGTTTATGTTCTTTATAATTTAAGAAATCTTTGACATTTAAAGTTTCGTCTTTGAATTTCCGAACTTAAGAATGTAAATTGCTAATTTAATTTACAAGTATGTATATTTGTTTTAAAAAAATCATGCGCGATGCGCGATCAAAAAAGTTTGGAGGTGGCAGCTCTAGCAAATACTACTATGTTGAGTTTATAGCATTTTGTACACATAATTGTGGCAAAAAAAAATGCTCTTTTAAACTGAAAAATGTTTTGTTAGTTTTGTACCATGGATCTAAAAACAAAATTTCATTGGTATTATAGTACGTCAAAGGTGCAAATCGCTCATGGATTATACGCAACTGCGGATTAATTATAAGAGATCTTTTATTTTTTCAGGTTGATTTTAACGACTGAGAATTGTACACCGACTGCGAATTTTAAAGCAAGAAATGAAGGTATTTCAAATTTTTTGATTATTTCATTACTTACAGGAATATATTAAGAAGTTTAACATTAAAACAAATTTATGTTGACAGCCTTTGATAATACGTTTATAAGGCTAAGATTTTTCTTAGCATTTCTACAAGATTTGTAATAAAACCCTAGAATTTCATGTAGTTTTATTTTCTTAAAATCATAATTGTTATTCACAATATGTTTTAATATTTTTTTACGTTTAAATAATATCTTAAGATATAACTATAAAAAAAAGCATTTAATGGGTAATAAAGGCTTTAATTTATTAACTTCACATATATATCTTTTTTCATCATAGACGCAACAGCCCCATGGTGGGCCAAGGCCGTCTGTGTCAGATTTCGAGACAGATGTTTTCTTTTTACTGGGTAGGGTTATCAGCCCTACACCCAGCAGTCCTATTAGACCGAAAATCATGGCCTGAAACATGTTCTTTTCTTAAATACGTCCCAACTGGTATACTAAAAGCTTTCTGTACGGAAAGGGATAGTTCTTCTTCAATGGCGCAACAACCACATGGACTGTTTGCCTACTGGCAGATTCCGAAACATAAGATGTATTTATTTTTAAGGCGTACGGTTCTTCGTACAACTCCCAACAGTCATATTAGACCGGGATGCTTAATGCTTTAATGCTTAAATTGGATTCCGAGCCACTACAAACATACGCCAGCACTCGAGCCTTAAACCTGTGGTACCTAGCTCTAGTCACTCTGCCATCTGGCCATCATTACATCTCTACTTAATGGAAATACAAAAATAAATTATAAATAAATAAAAAGTTGCGAAAAACAAAATCGATTATTTAAATTATATAAATTACTTTACTAATCATATGAATAAAATTTTGATGTGATACTAAATCTACATGAACAGTTACTTAATGGGTGAAATAATCAATACCTTGATTGATCGGTCATTTTTTACATCCATAGCTCAATCATTTATTTTGGATAATTTATTCCTTTCATCACCATGACGACCATCATTATCTTTCATTTTCAATCATTAATAATGTTATGAAATAAAATTCATTTTGTAATTAGAAGAATATCCATTAACTCCGGAGCTATTTCGGATAACGAGGTGTTGACCATTTTTCTTTCTTCCCTTTACGACAGAGTGTTGACAGGCTTGGAAAATAGTTCTCTGCATTTTGTCATTACTTTTAGTATCGACACATTGCATTAATTAAAAGGTGTAATTTTTACACGTTTAACATTATTGCTTTATTAGAATTCTTTATCCTCCAGGCTTATACGATGTCATTGATATATTTTTTGAGCTCTTTTCAAAATGCTTATGCATATAGATAGATGTGCCAAATTTTAAGGGCTGTAAGGGATAGTAATTAAAATAATTAATGTTTATTAATTATTTTTTTAATTATAACTATGTATATGCATGTGTGATGCATGTTGGCACAGGAATTCCATTACAAAACACGTTCCTTTAACTAATTATAAACAGTTAACATATTCTTTTAATTAAAAAGTCATCAAGATTAATAAGAAATTTAGGGAAAGATTAATAGATTAATAGAAAAATGTAACGCTTATTAATTAATTCATTTAATTATAATCATGCATATGCATGTATGATGTGTGTTGGCACAGGAATTCAATTACAAAGCATGTCCCTTTAACTAACTATAGACAGTTAACATTCTGATTTAACTCTTTTGATTAAAAATTCCTCTGCATATGCAAGATTAATATAAAATTTAATGCTTATTAATTAATTTTTTTAATTATAACCGCACATATGCGCGCATGATACGTGTTGGCGCAGGAATTTCATTAAATAGCAGGTTCTTTTAACTACATATCGCATATAGACAGTTTACATTCTCTTTTTAACTCTTTTAATTAAAAATTCGTCTAGATGTGCAAGATTAATAGAAAATTTAATGCGTATTAATTATTTTTTAATTATAACCACCACCATTTTTTAATTATATCCCCATTACAAAGCACGTTTCTTTAAATAACTATCTAGCACGTTGCTTATAACTATTTTTTAAGTCTTTTATTAAAAAGTCATCTGCATGTGCAAGATTAATTGAAATTCAAAATCATGCTTTTAAGCAAATGTGGCAACTTACTTTAAAATTAAAAATTTAATTTTTTTTTCGTTAGTTTATTAACGATTTGTCAGTTTAATGCACCCAGATATCTACATTTCACTTAAAATATAGTATAGCCAGGGAGTGCTTATCCTATCCCGCCAACTTAGTCATAATCAGTAAAAAATCAGCTGTGTTTCAACTTTTATATTTAAATTCTTATATTGCACGATAATAATAATAAGACAATGAAGCAATCCTTCAAATATACATTTTCATCTATCAATTCTATCCTCCATAGAATATTTTTTTGGGTGATTACAAAGCACGTTCCTTCCACTAACTATAGACAGCTGGCATTCTCTTTTTAACTCCTTTGATTAAAAAGTTAAAAGGAGAATGCCAGAGCATGTGAAGATTAATTGAAATTCAAAATCATACTTTTATGCAAACGCTCAAATGACTTTACAATTAAAAATTATTTCAATTTTTTTCCTTGGTTTATGCAACGATTCGTCATTTTAATACATTAAATTTAACATTGAATATAGTTAGAGAATATTATCCGCCAACTTAATCATAATCAGTGAAAAATCAACTGTGTTTTAACCTCTATATTTAAAATCTTATGTTGAACAATAATAATAATAAAACAATAAAGAAATCTTATAATCCTATTTATTAATAATAAATGATCAGAAAATTTTAGATCCCTTTTAGCCCTCAACAAAAAGTAAAAAATATATTGACTATTCTTTAAAGAAAATGAGTTTAAAATACGGAAAAATTCTGAAATTATATATCCATATTTACTCGGTATATATACTAAATGATAAATACAGAATGAAATGTTCTTAAAAATATGCCGGTGTTTCCAACCTTATACAAAAGTTTCACTAATTCTTAAAACTTATAAAATGTTGAGTTAAAGCTGTATTTTTACTTATTCTGAAGTATGGCAAAATATAGAACAAGTGGTGTAATAGGAAAAATTTTCTCTAATCTCAAATCACGTTGAAAAGTGTGTTAGGAATAGGAATTCACGTTATATGTAGCCGGATTTACTCGGCATACACACTGAAATGAAAAATAAAGTATGAAATTTTCTTAAAAGTATTCCTTTGAATCCTTTCTTGTACAAAAGTTTCATTAATTCTTCAAAAATCGCGAACAGTTGTGGCCCGGTGACATGGCGCATTGTCATCCATAAAAATCCCATCGTTGTTTGGGTACTTATAAAATGATAAAGCTGGATTTTTATCGATTCTGAACCATGGCGAAATATATACTACTGTGTCCAAAAAGTAAGGCCAATTTTTTTTTTTCAAAAATTCTTTATTTATTCTTCCAAATGTATTTCATCCCCTTCAAAGTAATGCCCATAATGCACTTATGCCAACTTTTTTACCAATCCTCAATGTATGCTAAAATGTCATCGGCCTTCAAACCGCGCGGCGTTTCACGTTGACTTTTTTCAATCGACTCAAAATGGTGTCCTCGGGAGTGATCTTTTGAGTTTAGGGAATAGCCAGAAGTCGCAGGGTGTGAATACGGTGCTTGTGGAACGATATAGGTTTCATTTTTGACGAAAAAATCACGAA